ACTACTTACAAGATGGGTAAGACTATACATAGTGCCGAGCGGAATTTAGTGCTCAAAGTAATTAAATTTTTTGATAATGAAAAACAACGAGGCTGTTTCAGTATCCCGGTTGAACAAGCAACAAAAAGGGCATGTGCAGCAACTGGTTTATCTAAATCGACCATAATGAAAATAAAAAGTGAAGCAAAAAAGTTACAAGTTTTGTCAGAATCAACTAAAGAGGCAAATGTTCAGGAAGAGATGACGTCCTTCGAAGAAGACCCACAACCTAGTACGTCAGCTTCAGTTACCACGGACACTATTATGCTCTCGACACCAGGGAAGAAGCGTAAAATATACAAGACCACTTTTGAAAATGACAGTACTTAATTGTTTTAAATTAGAATTTTAATGTTAAATACCTGCTAATTAAATGGCTCGAAAATTATTTGATTTTAATTTATTATACTTACCCTAGAATAGAAACTAATAAAAAAAGCATTTCTAAGAACAAACTTTTATACTTAATATGGTTTCTTGCATTTACTTTTTCCGGTATAAAAGCGTTACATTGATATATACAAATAGTTTTATTTTTAATAGGAATGTATTTTTTTATTTTAAATTTATTTTAAGGCGTTGTATAGAAGTATAAAAATAAATAGGCGCACAAAAAATATATTTCATTTTTGCATCTCGATTTTTTTTTTGCTATCTCTCCATATTGCATGACGTCATCAAGCCAGGTTCGCAGATATTTCCGACAGGTTATACTAGTAGTTAGTCTGTGGTGGCGCAACTGCCAGGGGGGGTACAGTTCACAGAACACTATTACTCCTAACGGAGGTACAGTTCCATAGTAATGCATTTTGTTATAGAAAGTAACGCCATCAAGTGTATGATACGGGTCATAATTTCCTCAGTTTAGTTAGTTTAATACTCACTAGATGGCTTTAATATCTTTGTCACCTGTCCATTAAAATTAGTTTTACTTATCTTATAAATTATAAACTATATATTTTGTAATATGTATGCATGACAAATAAAAGTTGTTTAATCCGTGATTTATAAAGTACATATAAATTAAACGTTCCGATTATATTTATGTTCGATTGAAATGATTAGTCTGTACTACAAGCTCTGTAGCCGAAAATATAAATGTATCTGTATCTGCTGTTGCGAAAAAAATAACCTAAATTATTACATATTTTTATGAAATTAAAAAAGAAAAAGTTTCAAAGTTAATTTTTCATCAATTAGATATTATTTTAAACGGGAATGTTTCAAACCATTTTCAAAGTGAATCGAGTTCGTTTTGTTTAACTTTTCTAAGCCAAATTCAAAAGGTTGATGTCGATTTAGTTAATTTCGTATTTCGTAGAACAATTACTTAAGTGTGGTGTTACTAGCCAGTGAATATTTAGTTTATGGTGATTTATTAGAGTCGTTTTACTTAATGAAAATGTTTTACGAATAATACTGGGTTGCTGAAAACGGTGTGTTCTAAGATGCTTCCATAATCATCTAAAATTGAGTGCCCAAGTTTATTTCTGTGTATCTAATAACTGTTAATAATATATTTAAATTTCTGAAAATAATTGTTTTATTTCTGTTTGGTCAAATTAACCGTGTGCCATTACAATTTTCTACTTATGTATGAATGCATAGCTAATTGTTAACTTTAATCTTACTCTTAAGCTTTGTGTTATTAAATTTTTATAAATTCCAATATGTACCTATTATATTAATTTATTACTATTTCCATTTCAACTTTTTACGAATGTAGAATGTAATTTCTACATTCGTAGAAAATTGGAATGGAAATAGTAATATAAGTTTAAAATATATAGAATATTGAATGCGAGGGTAGGCAAAGAGCATTGTACATATACACACGCACACATTCACAGAGTGCTCTCGTGTGAGTGAATTGGTATATATACACACATATAAATATTATAGTTGGCGTAACAATCATCAGGTGGCGCTGTTTCCAAGGAGCACCAGTTTTACTCGCAAGAGGGCTCTCTTCTTCCTTATATATTACTATACTCTTTGGCAACTGCGTATGCGCGACTCTACTATCTCCCGCGCATGCGCGAAGACATAAGAGTAGTGCACATTTTTTGTTTAGAATAGCTTCTCTAGTACGTAGTACATATAACTGAATGATTGTAACAAATAAATTCCCTTTAATCCTAACTAGCGACATCTGTTGAGCGTAAGAATATTAGCCCACGTAGGCAGGAGTGATGGCAACCGCAGGTTTTTTTTAAATTAAAATCGTTTTTTTTTTAAATAAAGCAATGTGGCAAATCAACTTACAGGCCACCTGATGCTAAGTGGCTACTGCAAACCATGAACACCTGCAGCAAACTTCTAATAAAAGATTTCGATTAAGAATCAAAATGCAGACGCCCTTAAGGACTAATTATATAAAAAGATGGAATGCCTCTTTTTAAGTAAAACGGGTCCCCGGTTCTCTACAGTCACCATACTAAACACAGCAGCATTAAGTTGCTATTTCACGCTGGTATTCTGTGAAAACGTGGTCCTTCCCCGGTCGAGCCGACCCATTCGTGCTACAACTATAATATATCTGCAGTGTGGCTCTACCATGTAAAAATAAAACAAAGGTAACATATTAAAAAAAGGGATCATCAAAATCATTTCACGATCGATCATTTCATGATATAGCGTAACATACATACAAGAAAGCCTACAGACTCCAACAACAACAAGACAACCCTCCTTTCTTTTGAAGTCGGCTAAAACTATTGAAAATTTCATTTGAAATGGGTGTCAAGTACTCTATTGTTCCTCAAACGAATATTCGTACAAGTGTATCGAGTTGAAAGCTACAACAGTGAGCCGTTGAAAGCAAACTCGTGTCCGACCAGTAAAGAAGCGACGATTAAGGAATTGAACACCGTAACAATTTAGTTCTCCGTAGTGCTGGCTTAGACCGAGTACAGACTGGAGAGGTACAATATTTTACCGTAAATTACATACTTATTGAATATTTAAAAAACATATGTTAAAGGACATACTAGGTAAGACACATCATTTTTTATTATTTACGTTGATCGAAGCTAATTAATTTTAACACTATTTAGGCCTTACAAATTCCTAGTCCTCAGTTGTGGCAACTAATGTGCATTTGAATCGAGAATAAATGTAAGTGTGGGCTACAGCATCCACTTACCATAAGGTGGACTGTGTGCTCGTTTATCACCATTATAATATAAAAAAAGGTTTCTTCGCGATATCTTCCTTCCGATCTTCACCGATCTAGCTATTTTAACCGACTTCGAAAAAAGAAAGTAATACTCAATTCGACTGTATTTTTCATGTGTGTTATCTCAGAACTTTTTTCTAGCTGAATTGATTTTGATGATTTTTATTAAAGAGCTGGTGCTTCTCATGTGCTCCCATATAAATTTGATCAAGTGTTTGCAAGTAGACAAAGGGACGCGTACTCGGTGTGGATTCGGTACTCGGCCGATTCGGCCATTTTTTAAGGTTTGGCCGAGCACCGAGTATTAACGGCCGAGTACCGAGTACTGACCTTACTTATATTCCAGAGAAAATAAAGACAAAAAGCCAGTTTTTATCATTATTATTACATTAGACACATTAAAACATCAGGAACATGATAAGCAGCAGAAATATTTAGAACGTACATAAGAATCTATAATAGAAAGTATTATTACTAATATTTAAAATTTAATAGAGGAAGATTGTGATGCAAAAAGACTAGTTTTACGGCCCCATTTGGGTCTAGTTTGTAAGGGAAATAACCGCACGCCGACCGCTACTGCGTTTTTTTAAAGCCGAGTATTCGGCAGAGTACTCGGCTATTCTAGGCCGAGTATCCGGTGGCCGAGTACTCGGCGAAATGTCTATTTTCAAGTAGTTTTCGAGTTACCCTTAATAATGCGTATTTAATTGACTTCGACTACATTAATGATGTTCTCGTTATATTTATATTGAAGTCGGTTGCACAACATTTTTAATTTTACCACTTGTATGTCTGATAGTTACAGCGCCATCTATCGGAAGTATTAGGCATTTCCCATAGTCACCTCTAACGACCCCATAATATATTAAAAATAAAGTAAAATGATGTTTCTTACCTAGTCAGAAGAACACCTCCCGCCCACCTACTAGTGCTGTTGGGTAAAAGTGGTGACGAGAATTGAGATTATTGGTGCCGGACAAAGTGATCGAGGGAGGGCGGGAGGTGCTCTTCAAACTATGTAAGACACATCATTTTATTTTATTGCTCCGATCTTAGATACTTACTTAATTTTTAACATCTTTTATGTAATGGATTTAGGCAAAATAACGTCTGATTCCGTTTGTTTAAAAATATGTTATGGACAACATATTTTTAATTTCTTAGACATGGATGTTAAGGTTTATATTGGTAGAGCCATTCTGAAGCTATATTATAGCTGCAGCACGAATGTGTCGACTTGACAAGGGAACACGCTCTCACAGAAAATCAAGGTAAAACAATAATGCTGTGTTTCGTATCGCGAGTGTAGAGATCCGGAGAATATTTTTACTGATAAAGAGAGTTTCTATCATAGTCTACAGAGGTGAAAACGCATCTGCATTTTGATCATTTAGATGTCTATGGGACGCAGCATCAATTTACCATCAGATGGACTGTGTGCTCACTTGTCACCCTTAAAAGAAACGAAAAGGTTTCTTCGCGATATTTTCCTTCAACGCTAAGTTCGTACTTAATTAAATATTGGTACTGACAATGATCAAATTCGGTTAAATCGAATCCTATAAAAATCATAAAATACTTTTTATGTTTCGTACAAAATTAGATGAAACTAAAAGAACTTTTAATTTTAAATTAATGTAAGGAGCGCTAAGCTTTACCTCAACGGTGTTGTACTCGGTCTCAGTGACCCGTATCGCCTCGTTGGGTCCTCTTACATGTGGGCTCATTCCATCCTCGCAACTGCCAGACACCGGCATTGAGAGCTCTAAGTGCTTTTAAGATGTTGTGGATATTTTACGCGTTTCTCTTTATTGTAAGTATTTGAACATTTTAAGTAAACTAGCGTTTGGAATTTTACATGTTATTTAATAATCCACTCTTGTTTTTTTTCGAAGGCTACTGATTTATTAAAATTTATAGGTATCACTAAGTAAGGTTTGGTTTATGAATTATGATGGAATAAGAAATACGTACTGCTAAATAAAATTTTCTTAATTCTTTTAGTCATTACATTTCCTCGAATTAATTGTTGTTTGCGAGCATCTCTGGCATTTCAGAATTAGACTTGATTCTTTGTTACTTTTAACAATACATTTGAATGATATTTAAAAAAAAACATTTAATACTATTATTACGTCTTTGTCTTTCATTAGTACCAATTATTAAAAAAATGCGTTTTCTTTGCGTTTATGTCTAGTATAAATAAATAAACAAACGTATCATCATCATCATCATCAGCCTGCGGCAGTCCACTGCTGGACATAGGCGATACAAATGAATCGTGGCGGGCAATGTGGTCGAGCAATCTATGTAGAATAAAAAATAGCTTTTTTATAACATTGTTTTAATTTTAGCGATTATTTTGTATGTAAAATCATGTTACGATGTGTAATGTTATGTTTAAGTGTGCAAAAATATACAAACTCGTTTGTTTATAGGCACTTAAAATATTGATTTAAAGTTTTTGTTGCTACGGACATTTTATATATTTACAGGTTAAATCTGTTACGTCAGAGAAGGAAATATTTAATAGTAATGGATGGCGACCAATAACTAGGGAAAGAGTTTTAAGCGGTTTCGATGACAGCATAATTCCTAATCTTAATTTTAAACAAGAATACCATCAAAACACAAATAATTTCGGCTTGGAAAAATATAATCTAGAGGATCAAGAAAATTTCAGAAATTTATTTGAACCTGGCTCCGTGACTTTTTCCGGAGCTATCGCAAAAAATAAATTTGGACAAGGTAAATTAACTTCGGATTAAATATATTTCTAACGTGGATCTATAACACATATAATAATAAGTTTAATGTATCTGCGCAGCACTCGCATTCTATTCCCTAACTTTCATAGAATAGAATGGAATATAACATTTAACTCTTATTGAATTGTCATTTTTAACTTTTACCACTGGTTCGGAAAAAACCTCTGCCCTGGGAAGAACCAGCCAGAAACCCAGCGGGACTTCTTTAGGAAAAAGCATACAATATAATATTTATACAATTCTTATGAAAACATTTAGAAACAGCATGGTAGCGGTCACCTCATTCCCAGGAGTTATTATCAGTCATGTACTCTTTAGTAGTATAATAACCCTTACTAGACAATTTTTGCTAAATAAATATTTTAAACCTTTTCCGCATATATTCTGGGACTTTGTTGTAAAAGCGCATACATTGCCCCATGAAGGAATTACTGACTCTTTGGAGTGGAGTAACTTGTGCTTGTTATTATTATTTACAGAACGTACATTAGAGTTTTTAATAAAACTATTTTTGTTTTTGTGAACGTAGATAAAATTTTCGTAAATATGCTTAGAGACCAAAGTTAATATATTTATTTCTTTAATTTTTTCTCTGAGAGACTCTCTCGGTTTTAAGTTGCAACACACCCTGAGAGAGATCAGGCATATGATTAACGTATTACGATTTGAATTCAGTCGATGGATAAGATGGCTCAGAATCGGACTTTATGGCGATTTATAGGGGAGTAGGTTTAGCAGTGAACTTGTGATGTATGTGGTAAATAAAGTACTCTCTGGCGAGGCACCTCTTCTGCTTACTAAGTTATTATTAGTAATAACTAACTCTGGGAGGGCATCACATGCTATCACTTATTTCTGCCACGCAACAGTGTACCCACTGCTGTTTCTGGATTTTAAAGATGTAAGATGCCAATATGTATATACAGAATGAGAGGTAGATGTGTGATGTTTTTATAGGATAGGGCAACAAACGAGCACACAGTCCACCTGATAATAAGTGGTTGCTGTGATCCATAGACATCTACATCTATCCTCAATAAAGAATCAAAATTCAGATGCGTCGTCACCCATGAGAACTAAGATGTAGTGCCTCGTTTCCAGTAAAAAGGGTCTCCGGTTCTCTACACTCATCATACGAAACACAGCAGTGTTAAGCTGCTATTTCACGCTGTTATTTTATGAGAGCGTGGTCCTTCCCCGGTCGAGCCGATTCATTCGTGCTACAACTATACTATTAATATACATAGCTGCAGCATGGCTCTACCACGTATAACAGGTGACAATTTATCTTTGGCCTTTGTTATAAGATGGTTGCGAATGCTCTATAAAATATTTAAAAAATGCAGATCTCAACAGAATATTTGGTTAATGATTTAATTTTGTTCCAGGTGTAAACAGAGATGATCATACAAAAAATAACAATTTTAAAATTATTTCAACTACTGAAAGACATCGAACATCTAAAGATATTTCTAGCAAAGCTTTCTATAACGTTGTCAATGACGTTATATCTATTCAAAATAAGACTAGACCTAACAGTATGGATGCCGTCACCCAACAAGGAGATATATATAAAGCTAAACTAGATTCAAATAAATATGAAGTAAATGAAGATAATGAAGACGAGGAATTTCTAAAAGGCGATGGAAGTAATTTTAACGTTAATAAAGATTTAGATAATCTATATTATACAGTCAACAAAACGTTCCCAGTTGACAGAGATAATAATAAAAACTATTTTACAAGTAAACTCTTAAACATACTTTCTAATTACAATATTAGAGTAAACGATGTTTTACCAAACTACGAACTATCCCGAGAAACAACTAGACGCAGTCCGCCTAAACAAGAATTTTTACTTTTGCCTATTCCCATTAGATATTCTAGCAGATATAACAACCTTAATCACGTAACAGTTGATCCCTTGTTAGCCGTGTTCCTGTCTAACTACGGTTACTACATACCGGGTCAGTACGGCTTACACAACAATTATCAAAATTTGTACGGTTACTTGGCCTCAAATAACATACATAATAATAAGCCTTTTGGTTCTTATAAAATATTTGCGGACACTGATTCATCTAATTGATTATCCAGGTTAACTTTTTTGCAAGAAAACAAAGCGTAGCATGTTATTATAAAACTTAATTAGGGTAGTAGAATCTCAAGTCAATTCTCAATCTGAGATCAAGTCTCAATTGATTTACTCTATCAGCTGTGAAAATGTAATTTTCCTATAGAAAGTGTATTTTAAGTAATCGAATAGCGGTGATGTAAGCGAAGATGGTAAAATGCACTGACTATATTATATTATATATATTATATATGGTATAATAATCGGATGGAAAGACAAAATAGCAATGAACGACAAGATCGTTTTATTATCAAAAATTATTTATTTATTTATTTCCTACAAAAATTTATCTAGGACACTTTTTTGGACTTCGGTTATAAATTGCTCTTAGAACTATATTCTGCAAAACAAAGATAGTTTCAATGTCATTCGCATTACCATAGCAGAGAAGACATAATGCTATAGAAAAAACTAAAATATGCTACTAATCGATATGTTTCAACATGTAATGGTTTTCCGTTTTAAATAAAATTACATGTTTATAATTTTATGATAAAAATGTAATTTTATTTAAAAGAGAAAACCGACCAAGTTTCGAGGAACTGCGACATGTTTTTTTTAAAATTATATGATGTTATTGTTATCTTGTAAAGATGGTGCCTAGTGTCCGATCTTTACAGCAAGATATTTATAATTTGATTGCCATTGTTGGTTTAGCGACGGTAAACGCGACTGCTGATGTGGTCCCGTGTTTGATCCCCGGTCGGGTTGAAATGAATCCAGTTTCAAGGTAAAATATAATAAAAAACTTGGTTTTTTTATGCATGTTGATTAAAATTCATACTAAAAAAACTGGTTTTCTTGTTGGTTCCTTCTTCAGAGCTAACATGGGCAGGAGACAATTTTATCCCCGGCGAAAGGCGAAAATGTTTATCCCCTCGCTTAGTTTTATCCACCTTCGAGCATGGGCACACCGGTGCATATAATATCCGCAGTAGATAAAATGGAAGATAGACTTACTTAAATAGATTTTTTGTATGAATATAAACTTCAGCCCACGTCCAATGAACTAGGATAAAATTGTCCCTTTCAAATGTCAAAAAAGTATAATTTTTTATCTTTCATTTGGCCCCATGCTACGGACGGGGGATATACTAGTATGTCTACTCGTTATGTCAAACGGAGATATACTTCTCCCCGTTGCCGTGCTTAGGCATGAGGACAAGACAAGCAGCTCGAATAAGGAAGATGGCGGTGTTCCACTCCGTGCCTTGAGAAAGCACGTAAAGGCGTTGTTCCTGCGCCTGATCTTTCTTCGGTCGTGCTGGATTTCCGTTCCATCAAACTATGAGAGTAAGAAATATGTAGTGCACCTGTGTCTGTGGACACACTCGTGCACTATTTATCCTATCCTGAGATAGCTAGTCTCCTGTCAGTCGGGAGGCCACTGTTTGTTACAGCATTGATTTAAACTGCAAACACAAGAACTTTTAAGTGTTCTTGTCTGATATTTATGAGATTACGATCAATAAGTTTCCCTTTTAAATATTGAAGCTTTTAGCTTAAGCTGTTTGTGGATATAGCTCTTTATATTTCATTTTAATTTTACTTTTTAAGTACTATTTGTAAAATATACGTTTCTTAATAAAAAATTATTAAGTGTGTTTCAGTATTTTTATGTTTTCAAAATAAATTAAATAATACAATCTAATTGAAAACCTCTTCCGTTTTTCAATTCGGCTAAATAACCGGATGCGTCGTGTCCGTATTTGAATATTTTTAATAAATCACTAATCCCATTTTGGGATAGCTACTTGATTATGTTTTTCACCATCCGTTAAAGCCTATAAGTTAAGTTCACTGCTGTTTTGCGTATATGGACTATGAGAAAGCCTAGGCTTCTCCACAGATTGCCTCATAGGAGGATATTTGCCATGGTTACCAAACTTGGCAAGCGAGTTGAGAACCTCAGTTTTTTTTAGTTATTATTAGGAAGATGCTGTTGCCCATCTCCTGGTTTACTTTCCTCTCTCGCATCTTGAGACATCCACGAGGTACGATATAGTGTAGTAGATATTCTTACACCGCCACTACAAGGTCAGAAAATGTTTTTAATGATTATGTTTTCACTTAACAAACAAGCTTAATGTTCAAATAGTAATTTAAAAAAACCGACTTCGTTATAAAGTTTACTGAAAAAAACCTTGCCCTCCGTTGTTTGGTATTTACAGATGCAACATATAAATAAAATATCGCCATGTCGCTCCCACAATTATGACGAATTTAACACCTTTGGACCCGGGCGAGAATGGAATCACAGCGGAGCTTCTGAAAGCGGGTGGAATACCAGTACTTTATTTGGAGCTTTATATAGAGCTATGGAGCATAGGGCTATACTCGGGGTTTCTCTGCGTGATAGACTTAAACACGGCGATATCCGCAGTAGAACCAGAATAACCGACATAGCCGAACGGATTAGTAATCTGAAGTGGGTAGTACCCTCCTTCTGGGGCAGTCGGGTAAAAAGTAAATCTTTTGGTCTAAAATCTTTCTAAGGTCGCATGCACTGGTAAACGGTAGGGCGAGCGGCGTGTCTACTAGACCGAATAATACAGATTTAACAAGTTTTTTTTTTAATCGGATTAGTAGTTTTAACTGTGCCTCGGATATTTTTGTCTTATTTGTTTAAAGAAATAGGTACTCACTTCGGAATATTTTTTGGGTATTATGTTCATCGATAATTTTTTACAACGTTGTCCGATTTCAATGATAATAAATGGGTGATCTCACATATTTGGTCAAGATCTGATGATGGGATCCACGATAAGAATAACAAACTCCACAATTTTCAATGGCAACTGCACGAACTTTTTTTATAGACTAAGAGTGAAAAACGAACGCGTAGTCACAGTGATAAGTGGATGCTGTAACCCATACACACACACACACACTATATATATATATATATATATATATATATATATATATATATATATGTGTATATGTATATATATATATATATATATATATATATCCTAATTGCAGATCTGGTACTCTGTGAGAGCGTGGTCCTTCCCCAGTCGAGCCGACCCATTCGTGCTACAGCTATAATACTAACTAATGTAGCTGCAGCATGGCTCCACCACGTATGAAAAATTATAATTATGAATTATAAATTTATCTGTGTATAGTAGAGCCATGCTACAGCTATATTATGGTTGTTACACAAATGGGTTGGCTCAAACGGAAAAGGACCACGCTATCACATAATATCAGCGTATATTAGCATCTTAATGCTGCTATGTTTGGTATCACCATCAAGTCCTTTACAAGTCAACTGCTGAACATAGGTCTCCCCCAAGGAATGCCACAAAGCACGGTCCTGAGCCACCTGCATCCATCGACTTCCTGCATGTCTTACCAGGTCGTCACTCCATTTAGTGGGGGGACGCTCTACACTTCGCCTGCCGATACGAGGCTGCCACTCGAGCAACTTTCTTCCCCATCGGTTGCCGGTTCTTCGAGCTATATGGCCGGCCCATTGCCACTTCAGCATACTAATTATTTGGGCTATGTCGGTTACTCTGGTTCTACGGCATATATCCTCATTTTTAAATCTATCACGCAGAGAAACGCCAAGCATTGCCCTTTTCATAGCTCGCTGAGCGACTTTGAGCGTCCTCATACGGCCAGCAGTGAAGGACGTCTCAGATCCGTAGGTCAACACTAGCAACACGCACTGGTTGAACAACAATATAGTTTTGAGGTTCTGAGGTATGTCTAACGACAAGATATGTTGTAATCTCCCGAACGCTGCCCAGCCGAGTTGAATCCGTCGATTGACCTCTCGGTCGAAGTTGGACTTACCTAGTCGGACTATTTGTCCCAGGTAAATATATTCGACAACGACTTCGAGCTTAATGCTTCCAACAACTACCGGCATAGGTGTGACATGAACGTTAAACATGATTTTTGTTTTGTCCATGTTCATTTAAAGACCTATCTATTGGGAGACACTATTGAGGTCATTGAGCATCATCGAGCATATCGTCGGCAAATCGAAGGTGAGTGATGTACTCGCCATTGATGTTGACACCGTATCCTTTCCAGTACAGTAGTTTGAAAACGTCTTCCAATGCAGCGGTGAAGAGTTTCGGGGATATTACGTCACCCTGTCTTACACCTCTCTGCAGTTGCATAGGTTTCATACTCTGGTTCTGTACTCGGATAGCCATCGTAGCATAGTATCATGTTTGGAATGGTGAGTGAAGAAAACCGGAGATCCTATTTACTGGGTACGAGGCATTCCATCTTAGTTCTAAGGGTTGACAATAGTTGATTTTTATAGAAAATAAATGTAGATGTCTATGGGCCACAGCATTCACTTACCATCAGGTGGACTATGTGCTCGTTTGTCTACCCTTTCCTATAAAAAAAAATAATTGTTAATATAAATATTGGAATGAATTTTCTACCGACTTCTAAAAGGAGACGGTACTCAATTCGACTGTATGTTTTCTTTTATGTGTTCTACCTCATAACTTTTTACTGGGTGAACCGATTTCAATAACTCTTTTGTTATTTGAAAGCTGGTGCTTCACATGTGGTCATAAATTTGATTAAGGTCTGACCAATAGTTTTTGAGTTATTCTTAATAATTTATATTGAAGTCGGTTGTACAATAAAAATAAAAATGTAAATTATATTTGACGTGTGCCACAGGAATGGAACACAAAGTTTTATAGTCTGTAACTTAACCGTTACGTTTGGCAGGCGAATTAGCGATTGTCTCAACTCTGACGCTGCACAATCAAATAATCAGTGACCATTCCCGTTGAGCTGATTTTATTACTCCGATCCTAAGTTAATCAATTTTTAACATCTTTAATAGCTTTTTAAAAGGAGAAATAAGAGATGCCTGTTTCTTAAAGGTCTCTCAGTCGTAAAGAAGTAGTCCGAGGAAGAAAACTCCTAGTAAATCGCATAGTGGTGGACTGCCAAGCATCCAGATGGTG